ATTCTATACTACTTGCCAAAATATATGTTGAAGACTGCAAAGATTTTATCGAAAGTCCAGATTTTCTAGCCTGAGTGGAAGGAACAACATCTATCCTGTCTTTGAGTTGTCAACTCAAAAGGAAAAAGCAGCACTGAACTGGGTATCAGGTGACCCCAGGTCATAGCAGAGAAAGTTGAAAGGTGCCAATATGCGTGGAGGCATAGCAAAAAGTGATTGCAGATCTAACGCCCTTGGCTGCCATCCTCCACTCTGCCCCTGTTCCCAAATGTAGGTGAGCTCAAGCTTTTATCTCTTGGCAGAAAAGACTGGAGTTAGGAAGCAAGAGTCTCATAAGCATTTGGGACTTTCTCAGTTCAGCATATGATTGGTTGCACACAAAAGTAAGTTTCCCTATCCTTTCTTGTAGGCTTCTGTGAAAGTGCAGACGAGCTAGAAAATGCTGTATTTCATGAACTTCATAATACCAGGATCCACAATTTTTATCGAATGAAGAATTTGAAGACCACTACTTATTTTAACCCCAAGAATAATAACTTGCTAAAGTAGGGCACAGAGGAAAAATATGAAACTGAACTGTATACATTCTTTTTAGTCATCAAATCAATTGGCAGTAAAATTAAAGATTACACACAGAGAAAAAAAAATCCCACCTCAGTATCTCTCCTATTTTTACTTTAAAGGTAGAGGAGAAGTGAGAGTGAAAACTCATCCCTGGAGGTTTAATTGGCTGGCAGTGGCTCCATATACTGCTCACAGCAGCAGAGCCCTATACTTGGCATGTCTCATTTAATGTCAATATATTTTAAAAAGCAACTGAGTTTACACGTAGCACCAAGCGACGTGCTGCAATAAAGAAGCACAGGGGTTAAATTAAAAGTGGAGGAAATACTTGGCCAAAGAAACTGGGAGCAAAATTAGTCTGTAGGCTTTATTTAGACATCTGGTTTTTTAGAGGAATTAGGATTCTTCAGGTTCTTTCTCATTTGACTGATAGATTTTGCTTAAAATAGACCCTAATATTTTATTCCTGTTATGAACCACTGTAGATTATTTTGTTATAATTATATTTCATTAATAAAAATGATAAAATATGTAATATCCAATTAAGAGATCAGCCTATAAACTCTGAAAAATGTTTCTCTATCATCTTATAAAATTACAAGGCAAATCAGGTTTTTTTTTGACAGCAGCATTCCACTTCTCTTGTGGGTTAAAAATAGCTAAAATTTTTGTTATATCTAGGAATACTATCTGAAATACATAACAATCAATCAAGCTTCATAAGTCCTCCTTTCTTTTTTTCTTTTTCTTTCTTTTTTTTTTTTTTTGAGATGGAGTCTTGCTCTGTCACCAGGCTGGAGTGCAGTGGTGTGATCTTGGCTCACTGCAACCTCCGCCTCCCAGGTTCAAGCGATTCTCCTGCTTCAGCCTCCCAAGTAGCTGGGACTACAGATGCCCTCCACCACACCCAGCTAATTTTCATATTTTTAGTAGAGATGGGGTTTCACCATGTTGGCCAGGATGGTCTCAATCTCTTGACCTCGTGATCTGCCCGCCTCGGCCTCCTGAAGGGTTGGGATTACAGGCGTGAGCCACCGCGCCCGGCCCAAGTCCTCCTTTCAAAGAGGTTACTCCACACTGTTTAATTGTCTTACTGTTCATATTACCAAGCCATAGATTTTAAAATACTTTATAAATATTCTGTGGTCAAAAACCTTACTGCAAGGCCATCCTTTCTGTGATCACCAGTTTGGAAAATGCAATTATTCCCATGTGTGCAAAACTGCATAAATAACCAAATGCTTACAACTACAATATATTATGCCGTTATCAGCTACTTAGCTTTCATTTGAAGGGTTCAAAGAAGTTAGTGCAGCCCCAATTGGCTAGCAGCATGGTGTGATTATGTGTAGAGCTAATTCTACAGCAAATTTCCTATGGAAGGAGAAAAAGAGGACAAGGCTGCAACTTGTGTTAAATGCCTGAACCAGAGAATCCTACCAACTGATTTTCACTAGTGAATCTGTCTCAACTCTGGAAATGAAATTACTAGACTGAATAGATTAGTTTTCTTGCAGTACATTTAGAGAAAAAATTGCTTCACTTTCATCCACTTCTATTTTTATGAATTGTATAGGTAAGTCCCTGGTGCATGAGACAAAGAAGTTTGTGGCATCTAGCTGAAATCTTCTTTAAGGACTCCCAGGGATGTGGTACACAAAAAAGGGTACCCTATATCCTTAAAAATATACACATAGTTCGAGAATTCTATCTGTGGAACACATAGGAGATGACAGCTTGTTGTTACTTAATTTAATGTCCACAAGTCATTTTTATAAAATCCAAAGCACGGCCGCGATCCCAGCACTTTGGGAGGCCGAGGTGGGTGGATCATTTGAGGTCAGGGGTTCAAGACCAGCCTGGCCAACATGGTGAAAACCCGTCTCTACTAAAAATACAAAAATTAGCCAGGCGTGGTGGCACATGCCTGTAATCCCAGCTACTCAGGAGGCCGAGGCAGGAGAAATGGTTGAACCCAGGAGGCGGATGTTGCAGTGAGCCGAGATGGCACCACTGCACTCCAGCCTGGGTGACAGAGTGAGACTCTGTCTCAAAAAAGAAAAAAAAATCCAAAACATATTGTAGAAACAAATACTATATGATCAAAGCCCAGGTATTATTCTCTTTTGAAAGTGTGCAATTAGTCTTGTAAAATGCTCAGTTGAGAAAAACTCTGAGCTTGTTCTTATCTCTTAGAAATTATACAATTAGCAGTTTTTCTTTACAATGGGTATCATGTTGGTAACAAACAAAAATTGCTACATTAGGGAAGACCTTCGTATTTATTATATATTTATTTAAACTGAATATGTGTAATCCAGAAGAAAACTAGTTTTAATATCATATTTAAAATAATGTTTTCTATTTCTAGATTCTTTGGCCAGATTATTCTCCCACTTAATTTATTTTATTTTATTAATTTTTTTAGAGACAGTGTCTCTGTCACCCAGGCTGGAATGCAGAGGGATGATCATAGCTCACTGTAATCTCAAACTCCTGGGTTCAAGTGATCTTCCTGCCTTAGCCTTCCCAGTGGAGACTACAGGCCTGCGCCACCATGCCTGGCCAATTTTTGAAATTTTTTTAAACAGGGTCTCACTATGTTGTTCAGCCTAGTCTTGAACTGCTGGCCTCAAGCAGTCCTCCCAAAGTGCTGGGAACTCTCACTTAATTTATATTCAGTAAGTTCTTTTGAAATTTTAAGATAGATTCACTCAAATTTTTTTTATTACCCAGTTTACATAATGCTTACTTTCAAATTTTTCCTTCTTTGGAGACTCTTTTGTATCAAGCTTCTCTGCAGAGCAGACTGCATGGAAGTTTTTAGGAGGGTCAGAGGTGGGAGTGTAGGAGTAAAGAAGTTTGTGTCTATCACATCTTTGTGCTAAGCAACTTTGCAAAGTGGGGGCCCTGTATAGAGAAAGCAAAACAAAATTTTCCGTATAATATTAGGTCTGGTCCACAATTAGTTGCAGAAGCAAAGGCTCTTGCACCTTATTCGAAGGGCTCAAGTCAACTAATTGGGTCTGCAATTAGCCTCTTTGGTTGCAATCAATTGCAACCAAAGAAATTGCAAACAAGTGCAATTTCTGTGTGTGAAATAATCTTGTGTGTAAAAGTAGTCTCACCAAAACAAAAGCCCAACTTAGAATGAAATTCACATCTGTCTTATCTCACTTAGATCCTAAGAAACAAATTTCTTTCATGAGCCATGAAGAAGACCAAAACTAAAAGGCTCTGTGCAATGCAAGTATTTTCTTAACTTTCTGTAAGTACTTAGATCTAAGTACTCCAGAATCTAGAAAAGATTGCCTTATTTTATTATTGATATTTTACTAATTTAAAAATAATTACATTTGTATAATAATTTAAATGTTTTTTTCTTTTCATATTACTGTTCAAATGTGTTATGTTTCTACACTACACATAAGTACACAAACTGGTTATACTCACATATGAATATGAATAAATTGCAATCCAGAATTCTATTACAACAGATCACTTAATGCATTGCTCTACTTAAAAGACTTTAACAAAGAGCTAATATGGATGTAACAAAGAGATTCAATGGGTTGTGCTGCTTGTCAAAACTCTAGCAAGTCAGCTTAGGAAATCTGACCTCACCAAGGAAGTTTAACACACTAGTGAGATGCAAAACAAAACAAAACAAAATAAGGAAGCAAACAAATCCCAAACATGTTAACAGTAGCTCATGTTTTAAAAGAAACTCCAGTGCAAATTTCTGAAATTCCCAATGTCATTTTGGCATACCTTTTTTTACCAGTGTGTTTCAGACAACAGCTTTTAAGTTCCCCAATTCATAAATGTAATTAAATAATTACATTAGTGCTAATTAACATGAAACTGCAGATTATTTAAGCGCAAAAAACACTATTCAACTTCTTAATTATTCTTGTTCACACAGCATTTCCTTTTGCTCAGGCGCCCTAGGTGCAAATAAAGCATCCCATCTGCTCGTAATTAGAACTAAATAATTTCAGAGAATGTAGCTTATCATTTTGACTGCACATTTGATTAAAAACAGTGTACAAGCAATATCCTGGCTTATTGGCGTAACAGCAACAACACATACAAGCCTGTATTCTTCTATTATTAAAGAAGATCGAAAACATTATCTGTTATTTCAGGGGGAAAAATACAACTTTTTAGTTCATTTCATACAGATGAAAGCGAATTACAGCAAATCACCTCTCCACTGAATAGCAGCCCCCACATAATGACTTTATTTGCTTAATCCCCAAATTAAACGCCGTTTCGAGCGAGGGCCCTGTGTTATTACTCTCATCATGTCGAGAACATTTTCCTGCCGAGACCAATTTGAATAAAACAAGGGGCCTTCCTTGAACTCAATCAAGGAGCCATAATGTGGTGGGTAATAGAGGTTGCTGATAGATTTGCAGGCAAAAGTGTTATACCTAATGATGGGATATGGATAATAGTCCTCCTGGAGGTCCTGATGCGATTCCAGTTGGCTGCCAGATGCTAAAAATCAAGAAGAGCATTGATCAGTGACAGGAAGCGGTAGTGGATTCATCTAGTCAAACTTCAGCTGTTTTTCCACTGTACAGTTAAGCCAGGCATAAATTATATTAATTGATTTAATTACATACTTAAAACATCTTCCCCAATTAATTTAATTAGGTGGCTACATGATGCTACTGGCAGGGGAAGATTAGAGGCAGCTCACTTAATTAACAGAATATGAATGAAAAAAAGAGAAAGCAAACATAAATGAAATTGTGAGCACTAATTAAAAGGCTGTCTGCAAACTTAAATACTTTCTGACAAAGTGGTGACAGCAATGTAGACAAGAGAGGATCTTTTTTTTCTGAGCAAATTAAAGTGCCAGAAGGTATATATAGGGAGAAAAAGTAATGCAGTTAAAACATTGATTTTCTGACAGAACTACCACAGTCAAAGTGAAGGGACTTTTTTTTTTTTCCTATAGAAAAATTGCAACAGATTTTGCAGGCACGAAAGCCAGATTCCTGATTAGGGCTAAAATATGATGCACAAACAAATGTGGGGTTTGTGCATCATACATTGAGGGGAGAGAAAGGCGAGGGAGTCTGAGGCGAGGAGGGTAGTTGGAAACAGAAAGGGAAGATAAAGAGACAACTTATTGCAACCGCTCAAGCACGAAATGTTTAGTAAAAGAGGTCTGCCTTAACAGCTGGCAGCCTTGTGCACCTTGGCTCGAATGCGGAAATTCTCCAGGTGTCTCTGACGTGATTCCTTTAGTATCTTCTTTAGTCGAGTCTTATGGCAATGTAACAGCCAAGCAATGGCAATCACACCTGATGCCCACTTCTGCTGGCGATAAATGAGGAAGAATTTTCTCGCTCTGTAGCATTTCCATGTGGCTTGGATCTTCATGGCGGCCTCCGAATTTCCATCTTGGCCCTTGTACCTTTGCCCTGGAAGATTTATCAGCATTTGGACGTGAGCTGGGTCCTCTAACACTGACAGAAGGTCATATCTGGTAAGTTTATTCTTCAGCTCAAACTCTGGAAGGAGGGCCACCAAATTATTCCCTTTTATTTTGACTTCTGGTATTGCATAGTTCCTGAGAAACTTCTCAACGTGTTCCAAGAGAGAAAAAATACCTCCCCAAGCTAAGCTAAAATGTTCCTTGAATGCTAAGAAGTCTGGGGCTGTATTGTCTATGACACCATCATAAATTAAAAAGTCATAATCCCACAGTGATTTCCGGGCTCTCGAAGGTGGTGTCACTTTCACGGCCTGTGGAAAAAAAGGAATATATTTCAGAAGTGAAAGATATTATGATCTCCTTTAAGTGAGTGGTCAAGACACACACTACCACATTATCATTTAGCATTCAATGGTGGGAAGATATGAATCCTAGTACTGATTTAACACACACATATCATAACATGAAGGTCTGGCTAGTATATATCATTAAAACTCATTACCAGATGGATATCTTAGAGATCACTCAAATCTATTAACATTTTTATAAAAGTGTTATAAAATTGTTCAAGGAAACTGGTCATAAAAAGTGACACATTTAGTTTACTTTGATACAGTCACCTGACCCCCAATCTCTGTGATTTAGTTTTTACACATGCACGCATGGTCTGAGAAGCGTGTTGCTGATTCCGTGATCATAACTTATCCACCAGTCTGAAAAACAGGGTGAAGCCTTTCTTTGCATTCCTTTGGATAACTTCAAATGTGCCCGTTAAAAGTTGTTTCTGACTTCATAAAAGATCATCACTTTTTAGCATTTTATAGTTCTTCTGTCATCTTCTCTTAATATCCAGAGGTCATTTTTATAAGGAACATTATGTTATATGTTATCACCTTTGTCATTCTTAGGGTTCTCTTGACATGTGTTCTTTTATTCTTAAGTCTGGTATCTTCTTAGGAACATATCTGGGGCTGTCCCAGGTGGATTAGAATCACAAATCTGATAACAAAACCAAGGGAGCATTTGCTTTTCATTTTGTTCCCATCTATATTGACATTTTAAGCTACGAAAATACTTTTATTTGTATTTGGCAAATTTCTAAGAATCAGATGCTGAGCAATTTTTTTGTTCTTTACACTTCCTATGTTAAAAATAATAAATGCTATTTAAAAAATCAAATCAGAGGTTGTTTAGATGACAATAGCAATACATGTCACCCCCCCTTAACAAAAAGGAAAGGGAAATTGTGTTGTGTCAATGTCCACTCTGTATCCACTACATTTCAATTCTCAGAACCTATTCTACTGAAGACACAGACACTCTGCCCATGATGTACATGTTCCTAATGGCTTGGAGGGGTTGGGGGGACAGAGCGTACAGATTTTCAGACCCTGAGTTCTCGTCAGTAAACCCGGTATTAATTTACTGGGATAATTGTTTCTTCTTGCTTAGGGATGTAAGGAATAGATTGTTTTCAATATGTCAGCGTTCTCAGATGTATAAGCCCATCTTTACCAAACTGTAGGGTTATAATTGCTCTTTGCATTTTGAAGAGTTTTCAAAAAACCCAAAAGAAAAAACCCCCCAGCAATTTATCCATAACGATTATGCCACAGCACTGAGTTGAGTATTACTACATCAGATTATTCACGCATTTTCTTTTCTCCGGTCCTGGGAGGAGGAATAATTAATTAGACTGCCATCTCAAGTAAAAATGCTGAAAAACAAGTGTTAAGTCCAAAAGTGCACATTTCCTTTTACTTTAGAAGCACACTTTAAACAGCAGTGACCTTTTTGTGTACTTTTAACTTGAGTTGTTATAAGGCATAAAAATGAGGGAAAAAGTCTTCACGCCAAGCTTCTATCCCTTTCTGATCTAATCAGGGTGCCAGAAGAGAATGCAAGCTACTTGGTAGATGAAAATAAATTCCTTCTCTTGGATGGGCAAGAGAAAGTTGGAGAAGTAATGCCTCCTTCAGCAGCCACCAGTGCTGGCAGGAGAGGCTGCCACTCCTGGTGGAAAACAAGTGGCACATGTTCCAACAGAAATGGCCTCTATGGCCACATTTCTTCCTCCCTTCAGGAACGGTCTCTGCTAGTAGGAATTAGAATTCACAGAAGAATGACAGTGCTTCATCAGTGAGAAACAGCCATGCAAAATAATCACAGATGGATGTGTATGGAGCTGGTTCGTCCTGCCAGTCACGTGTGATGCAGTCAATAGGACTCTGAGACTTCTATAAGAAGCAAAGCTATGGATGGGAGATTTGCCAGAGAATCTTGTCTCCTTGGCAATACTCAAGTATTTCTGAAACTTCTTATATTCACAGTGAGACATGTGGAATTAGGGCCATCTATAAAAATGGGACAACCTTGGGAGAAGTTGAGAAAGGAGAGGACTCACATCTCTCTCAGACAGTGCCTTTCCATGGGGTGGGTCTAGGGTTATGTACATCAGCAAATGCATTTTAGACCTTCTGAAAGAACAGGCTTGCATGGCAGTGGGAGCGAAATTTATCAGTGGCTGTTTTAGAACAAAGGGATGACACCTTTCTACCATCTTGGAGGATATTCCAGCAAAGACCTGCTCTCAAAGGAAACACACTCCTGGACATCAAACAGACCACTCAGGCACTGGGAAGCTATGGGTTTGCAGTCAGCTAAAGCATAACTGTAGTACATTCGTCACAGAGAACGCCACACTTGGGAGCACTTTAGACTTGGAGCAAGAAAAGACATGCCTCTCAAGAGACAGGCTTCCCAAATTAAAGCCGTGCATCAGCATTGTGAGATCCATTGAGCAGGTAAAGACAAAGCTGCTTCGAAGCTGGCTAGGAATAAGAGCCCTGATTAAAGGTCACGCCATGCTTCAGGTTCGGGCTCCTTCTGTTATTCTTTATTATTTATCTCCGTGAACTTGTCCACTATTATTTGTTGGCTTTCTTTCTTCTTTCTTTCCTTTTTCTTTTCCCCTCCCTTCTTTCCTTCCTCCTTCCTTTCTCTCTTTCCTTCCTCCCTCCTTCCCTTCCTTCCTTCTTTTCCCTTCCCTCTCCTTTCTCTCTCTTTCTTTTTCCCTTCCTCCCTCTCTCTTTCCTTCCTTTTTAAAGACGTGCTGTAATCCCAATATGATATTACTGACTTTAAGGCAATTTTTTTCCCTTCTAGCCAAGAAGGATTTCTGTTAAAACACTGTATTCTCACCTGGTCCTTCTTGGGTCACAATCATACCTTTGCAAGATGCCTGTATTTACTAACTGGCCCACACAAAGTCCAAACCTGTGGCCTAATTATTAGCATCTTGCTCTAACTAAATAGCTGGGAAATGTTCTTCGTTTGCAAAGTGTAATCGCTAATCAGATAACTTTGAGAGTTTCTGGAGCAGTTCTTTAGGCAAAATTCTAAATCCAAAACAAAAAACAGGAAAGCAGGATGATGATTACATATGTTAGTAGGTCACAGATGTTAAGCAAAAAAGATAGACCCAGCGTTGCATTCTGAAATTTAGAAATACTAGCTGGGTGTGGTGGTGCACACCTGTAGTCCCAGCTACTTGGAAGGCCGAGGTGAGAGGATCGCTTGAGCCCAAGAGTTTGAGGCTGCAGTGAGCTATAATCACACCACTGCACTCCAGCCTGGTGACAGATTGAGACCCTGGCTCTCAAATAAATAAATAAATAAAATTTAGAAATAACCACTACAAAGAAAATCACATTTCTAAGACAAATGTCTTTATGAAAAATGTTCTTTTCATTTATGTGGACAGTATGCGGGTGTGGCGTTAAACCGGATCCATAATTGGATACAAGCAGGATCTCATAGTGGCAAATGGCCAAGTATTTGGGATAATACCACATGGATATCATCTTTAGAGAATGAAAATCATTCCATTGCCTAGAAGAATAGACTAAATTCCTTCTGAAACTAAAAGCCAATGTTCAGTTTCTCAAATACCCAAACATATCCATTAGTAATTAGCCCAGGCAATTGCACTGTGTGAAAAAGAGTAAGTTCTTCCTGCACCTTATGGCTCTAAATGTGAGTTTGGATTTAGAATGTGAATGGAATGTCCCTCAGAGATGGAGTCCTTATTCTTTCCCAAAGACCAGGGATGCTATTTGTCTGACCCTGCTTTTAAATTGTGTTCAGGGTCCACAATGTGTTCAGCTTCGTATAGAATAAACATCAGGACCTCAGCTGGCTAGAACTGTTCAAAAGATGTACATGATATTCAGAGAGAGTAGCTGACCTAATCAGGGGTCTGGAATTCAGCATAGTCACAGGCCTGAATTTTAGAGGATGAGGGAACTTGAAGGTCACTGGCCTTGCCTTTTTCTCAATAGGTTATTATGGGCCCAGGGAAATTAGCCTTGGCCTTAAGTCCAACTAACCTGGGTTCAAATCCAAGCTTTGCCAATATGTGCTACATACTCTTGGGCAAGTTACTACACCCTCTGAACCTAAATTTTCCTTATCTGTAAAAATGAGAGGTCCCTGCAGAGCTGCTGTGATGATTACAGTATGTGTCAAGAACCTTTAACAGTGCCTTAACCCTAGTCAATGTGGTTTTTACTATAGAGAAGGAAACTGAGGCTCAGAGAGGTTAAATGACTTGCCCAAAATCACAAAGCTAGTTGGTGGATCTTCTTAATTTCCAAGACAGTATTTTTGTTACTATATGACAAAATTCTGTTCCTAAACAACCCAAATCCATACATAACCAAAGGAAGGAGAATAAGTGCTATAAGAAGTGTGTCTTTGCTACTCTTCCATTTCCTTTCATCAGCTCCTCTTCCTTCCCATCGGGTGCTTTTTCTTTCACACCCTACCCCGTGCTGACCCCTGCCCCCATACCACCAGTGCCCACAGCCTAAACTGTCTAGAACTCTCCATATGGACCCTTACTAAGCTGTGCTCTTCTTAGCCTTCCTTCTACCACCTTGTACGTCAGAGCCAACCTGGCCTTGATCTGCTGGTTTTTTCTTTTGCTTTTTAAAAAACTGAATGATAATTATTATTTTTAGAGACATGGTCTCCCTGTGTCATCCAGGCTGGAGTGCAGTGGTATGATCATAGCCCGCTGCAGCCTCAAACTCCTGGGCACAAGTGATCCTCTCACCTCAGCTTCCCGAGTAGGTGGAACTACTGGAACACATCATGACGCCCATCTAATTTCTGTACTTTTTTTTTTTTTTTGGTAGAGATAGGGGTCTCGCTATCTTCCCCAGGCTGGTCTTGAACTCCTGGCCTCAAGCGATCCACCCACCCCAGCCTCCCAAAGTGTTGGGGTTACAGGCATGAGCCACTGTACTCA